TTGTTTGATTTCTTAACTGCTGCTTCCATGAGTGTTGATGGTGGATCCAAGCAAAATGAACTCTTAGACAACTTTAAGCTTCTCTCCCTTTATCATAAAGTTATTTACTGATTCAGTGGTGAGGGTTTTTGTTTTCTATATATTTAGTTGCAACTCACATTGAAGGCTGTGGCCTTTAATCTTCATCAGTAAGTATCTAAGCCCTCTTTGTTTTCAGCAAGTGTTACGCAGTTTGTTAATGAGTCTTCCTCCAATCCTGATGCCAGGTTTTTCTTCATATAATCCAGTTTCTCAGATTATTTTTTCAGCATACTGATTGAATAAGTATGGTCAAAGAAAGTAACCCTGGGGCACACCTTTCCTGTAGTTTTATTGGGGAAGAAACTGAGGCCTAAAATGACTATGCATCTTGATCAATGTCCTCTGTTAGGAAGTGGCCTGGATCATAAAGCAGCCACAGCAATTCTTTCTCTTCCTCAGGCAGCTTCTCATGTGCAGAAGGGTCTTAGTCCCAGCAGCAAAAACAGAATGATTTTTCTTGGTCAGCTCGGACAAGATGAGCACAAACAAGCCATCCATTTCAGCTCACTGAGGACTTTGTGGACAGATAGGCAAAAGAGCAAGGCCACTTGTATTTGAGAGGTTCCATCTGGCTATCCCTCAAAGTTGACAGGTAAGCACTGGGTTGGTAGCTTGGAGCCGGTAGTATTCTCACCCTGCACCTACCTTGGGCCTACACTCAGCCTTCCTGCTGACAACTTTTCTCATTTGGGAGCCTCCTTTCCTTCCTCTTGCATGCACATGGCTTTCACAAGAAACCACTTATTCTCAAACACATTACTTTCACCCCAGGTCTTGGTCTGGGGCTCCCAACTGGCTGACTTATTTTTGTTCAGACTGAATTTATTGGAAGGGAAGGTGTGACCTGGAACTTGGTGAAGTGACTGATAAGGGGGAAAGAATGTGCTAGGTGGTGGGGGTAATATTATCTGGCAGGAGCACAAACTGGGGGTGGGGGTGGGGGAAGTGGGCAGCCTGGATGGCAGGGAAGCAGTGAAAATCCAGGGTGTCAAGGAGCCCAGAGCTGTGTTGTGCACATTTGCTGTGCACAGTGAAAAATATTGGTTCCAAGGGTCTCTGTCCTTCGTGGGAGGGAAAAGAGAGTCACACTAGGCATTAGGGGACTCTGAAAACAGAGTCATTGCTGGTCACAGATGCCAACACCCTGGGGACCAGGTCAGGAGCAGAAACAAGAGGGTTGGTAAGGTGGGGGTTGTGGGGGCCTGCCATGTTATAGAAGGCAGCATCTATGCAACCTCTATAGACCATCATTAGGTAAGATTATGCACCTGTGGAGATGGAGTCTCCTGTTTTTCAAAAGAAGAAACATTCTGATTTAAAACATCAAATTCAATGTAGTCATCAGTTTCAAAAAGCACTTTGTCAGGGAAAAAAATACCCCCAAAGCACAGCACTGTGTAGGTCAGACCAAGTCCATCTGTCACCTTTACCCATTCAACAGGCTTTTACTCCAGAGCTCTGCTACCTGTCCAATGCCTGGGATAAGCTGGAGATATCAACTTTGGGTCCTTGGATAGCACCCACAGTTAACATGCTCAGCTGCTAATCAAAAGTCCAACCAGAAGCACTGCTGAAGAAATGCCTGGCTATCTACTTCCAAAAGGCAGCCATGGGAAACCCTGTAACTTTGCAAACATGGGGCTGCTCTGAAGTCAGTCAATTCTATCGCAGCTGCTGCTGATTTTTATTATTATGCTTCTTTTATAGGGACAAATACAGGCTGACAGAGGCAGTTACAATTAGACAGCACACAACGAAATCACCTTGAGAAAGCAGCAATGAAAACCCACCTTGGGCATGGGGAAGTCACAGGCTCCTGAGCAGTAATAGGCATCGAAGGACTTGGGTGAGAGGATCCATTCATTCCACCCGATGTCTGCGAAGTCTACCTTCAGATACCTCCGTGAGCAGATTCGTGGCTCATTCCACTGCTTCCTCCGTGCTTTCTGCATGGTCTTCTCATCGAAGTTCAGCACCTGTGAAGAGGCCATGAACAGGTCCTGGCCTTTCCTTTTGCGGTCCTTGCGTGCTGGCCGGGGCTTCAGTGCCCGAAAGGGGCTGGGCCAGAACTCAGGTTTATGGTAGCGCTGAGCACTATGGGCAGGCCCTGACCATGTGTCCATCCCTGGCAGCTCATTGTCCTGGAGGGGGCCACTGGCCTGGGCAGCCCGGCGCACACGGGGATCTGTGGAACTGTTGGGAGCTGCATGCAGCTCAGGGTCTCCAGCTGGGAAGGGGTCATATCTCTGCAGTGTCACTGCCACGCTGTTGGGTTCGGAGATGGTCAGGTCATTGGCATAGATGAGGATGTAGGGGGCGTGGAGACTGGGCCTGGACACTCCCAGCTTCTTCTCCCCAGCATCCAACTGGGCTGAAAGAAGCAGCTCACCATCCTGGCGGGCCGCTTTAATGATGGAGGAGATATCCTTGGCCTGCCACAGGGCTTGTGGTGGGAGGGCCAGGGCTATGACCCCTCGAAGTAGCCCCTGGGTGGCTGTGCTCTGTGAGAGGCTGTGGAAGAGGAGGTGGAGACGGGAATGGGGGCCTGGGAGCAACAAACGGCAGGACACATTCTTTGACCGCTTACACAGTGCATCATGTGCCCAGGGCCACCGTGGCTCAGAGTAGAAGTGAAAGGTGGCAGCAAGAGGCATTTCTGAATCCTGCATAGAAGTCAAGTTGAAGATGTACAAGGCCTTCTGGTCAACCACTTCTGCAAGAAAAGGACAGAGGCATGTCTGTTAGGTTCTCTTCCAGATGGGCCCCGGTGCTCAGAGGTCTTCAGTCTCAGGGTTGAGGTGGGAGAGGAATTGCCTCTTGTAGAGCACCCACTTTACCATGTGTAATTCTTGCAATAAACTAATGGTATCCTCAATAACATTATGATCTGAGGTCAGAGAGGCTAGGGAACTGTAAATATACCATAACAAAGACATGACAGCGGCAGGGTTTGCACTCAGACTCTTGTCAGAGCATCCATGGACTGTCAATGAACAAATGTCCCTTTGGCAGAAAGTACCAAGAGCTTCACTGAAGGTGGAATCAGGTGTTCATGGTGTTCAGATTGAATCAAGACCACCTGAGAGCCAGCTTCTTGTTTGCACAGCCCTATATTTTACTACATAATATCCATTCAATAAACACTGGACTGCAAACCACAACGTCGGTGGTTCAAGCCCACCAGCTGTTCTGTGGGAGAAAGATGAGGTTTTCTGTTCCCACAAAGTCTCGGAAACCCTATACAGGGTCACTATGAGTTGGAACTGACTCGACAACCCTTAACATCAACAATGTTCTTCTTGTTGTTAAGTGCCATCGAATAGGTTCTGACCCATGGTGACCCTGTATAGGGTTTCTGAGGAGCAGCTGGTGAGCTTGAACCACCGACCTTGCATTCAAATGACTTTGCAGTCTAGTGCATTAACCCACAGCGCCACACCAGGACTCCAGCACCAACAATAATATACTGTAGTATGTATGTATGTATGCATGTGTATATATGGAGTCTTTGTATGGTGTTGTAGGATAAGCACTGGACCATAAAAGTGGTTTGAACTGTAAGATTAACTGTTTAAACCCATCGGCCACTTCTCGGAAACACTTATATAGGGTTGTTATGAGTTGGAACCGACTCTACGGCACTTAATAACAACAACGTGTTATTATGTTGTTGTTAATTGCCATTGATTCTGACCCATAGCGACCCTATCTAGGGTTTTCAAGGAGCAGCTGGTGGGCTTGAATCACAGACCTTGTAGTTGAAAGCAACTTTGCAGTCCAGCACAATAACCCACAGCACCACACCAGAACTCTTTCACTCTATATATGGAGTTTCTGAGGCTGAAATCTTTGTAGGATCAGAAAGCCTCATCCTTCTCCCACAGAGTGCTGGTGGATTCAAACTGCTGATCTTGCAGTTTGCAGCCCAACTCATATCCCATAACACTGTCAGGGCTCCTATATATTGCTATGTTGTAGTTTTTAAGTGTTGTCGAGTTGATTTGAACTCATAACAACCCTATATAGGATTTCCGAGAAGTGGCCGATGGGTTTAAACAGTTGATCTTACAGTTCAAACTGCTCTTGTGGTCCAGTGTTTATCCTACAACACCACATAAAGACTACATATATACACATGCATACATACATACATGCATACATAGGGTTTCTGAGGAGCAGCTGATGAACTTGAACCACCAATCTTGTGGTTCAAACTAACCTTATGGTGGAGTGCTTGTCCTACAGCACCACGTCAGAACTCCATATATTGCTGTATGTAGATTAAATACAATTACTTTTTTTTTTTTCACATTCAACAAATTATACACTTTATTTCTTCTCAATGATTGCATTCCCTTTCATGCATCATCATTCAACAGTATTTGCTTCTATTCCCTCTGTGTTTTTTTTTTTTTTTTGGTGAAGGTGGGGGAGGATGTACATTAAAATACTTAGGAATATATAATCATTTAAGAAACCAACCAAAGGGCACATTCTGCAAGCCTGCCTTCTGGCCTCCAGCACACAGCCTTTCTCTTTCCGTGAGTCTAGACTTCAGTTCTCAGCTGCTCTATCTCTACATGATATCATCTCTGCCTCCATCTCTGGTGTCACTGCTTCTCTGGATAGGGTCCTGCATTCTGCTAGTGCTCTTCTCCCTGGATGGTCCTAGGATCCTCTGTTCCTGGACTGTAAGATTAACTACTCCCCCTTTTTGTTACAAAACTTCTATCTTTACAATTGTGACAGTTGTAATTAGTCAGGATAACAATTACTATCAAATCATAAGAATCATATTCCCACCTCCTTTGACCAGACCCGTCTAGACAAGATGAAAACTATCCAGTGGGGATTCTACCTTCCCCTGCACACTCTCAAACTAAACTTCCTCTTGAAAACTTGTAGGCCAATCACTTTGTGCCTTTACAGTACCCCCATTTTAAGTAGCCAATGTTTAAGTTGCCCATCCCTATCAACCGTGCGTACAGAGGGGATGGGAATGATCCTTGCTGTGAAGATTCCTTCCCTTTCAGTTGGCATTTTAAGCTATTACATTCATAAGAATAGGTCAAGTCCATCAAATTACAGCAATTTACACTTGTTTCCTTTATAAAAAATTTTTATCTTCCTCTAGTTGAGTTCTGACCATCCAGCCATCAAAGCTAGGTCAAATGGGTTATAGCTGCAAGTTTGGGCATTCTTGTTAGTCTCCCGTCACTTCTTATCAGCTGGATGCTTCATTATCAACTCTACTCCTCCATGGCTATATCCTTGGCCATGATCCCAGGAGTCTCCAGGTCTCACCACACTGCAGACCAACAAGCCCTTCCTCTTTCTTCTCTCTCTCATGTCCAGGTCAACAGGGGTCTATAGAATGTGTTTTCTTCATTGCTGCCTTTCCCCCTCTTCCACTCATGAGTAGACCAACATGGTCGCCAGGAAGCTTACATGCCTGCTCATGTGTTCCCTTTGAGTTTCAGTATTGGAGGGGGGGAGGGGATTGTCCTGAAGGGACTTCATTGCTTGCCTTGATGGCTTCCCGGAAAACAACTTGCTTGTTTTTGTGGTAGCCAATCAGACTGCCATTTTTGTTTTTGATTTTTCCTGCTGGTTTTCTTTCAAAAAGTATCTTTGGTTAAATGCAATTACTTTTCCAAATCAGGTGAAGTAACAACCATCAGACTTTAACTGCACTGAATGCCTTCCAAGGGTTAATGGGATAAAAAGAGTCAGTTGGCCACCTGCAGTTCATTCTCCCTAAGGATTATTACTAATATTTTATAAAGAGAGAGTGAAGCCTTTAAATTCCATGATG